CATAATGACAAAGCAAAAACTGGTTTTTAGAATTTTTTGCAAATGTTTTACAAATAAAAAACGGAAATATCACATTTACATAAGTATTCAGACCCTTTACTCAATACTTTGTTGAAGCACCTTTGGCAGCGATTACAGCCTCGAATCGTCTTGTGTATGATGCTACAAGCTTGGCACACCTGTATTTGGGGAGTTTCTCCCATTCTTCTCTGCAAATCCTCTCAAAGTATGTCAGGTTGGATGGGGAGTGTCGCTGCACAGCTATTTTCAGGTCTCTCCAGAGATGTTTGATTGGGTTCAAGTTCGGGCTCTGGCTGGGCCACTCAAGGACATTCAGAGACTTGTACCGAAGCCACTCCTGCGTTGTCTTGGCTGTGTGCTTAGGGTCATTGTCCTGTGGGAAGGTGAACCTTCGCCCCAGTCTGAGGTCCAGAGCGCTCTGGAGCAGGTTTTCATCAAGGATCTCTCTGTACTTTGCTCTGTTCATCTTTTCCTTGGTCCTGACTAGTCTCCCACTCCCTGCCGCTGAAAAACATCCCCACAGCATGATGCTGCCACCACCATGCTTCACCGTAGGGATGGTGCCATGTTTCCTCCAGACGTGACACTTGGCATTCAGGCCAAAGAGTTCAATCCAGAGAATCTTGTTTCTCATGGTCTGAGAGTCCTTTAGGTGCCTTTTGGCAAACTCCAAGTGGGCTGTCATGCCTTTTACTGAGGAGTGGCTTCCATCTGCCCACTCTACCATGAATGCCTGATTAGTGGAGTGCTGCAGAGAGGATTGTCCTTCTAGAAGGTTCTCCCATCTCCACTGAGGAACTCTGGAGCTCTGTCAGTGTGACCATCGGGTTCTTTGTCACCTCCCTGACCAAGGCCCTTCTCCCCCAATTGCTCAGTTTGGCCGGGCGGCCAGGTCTAGGAAGAGTCTTGGTGGTTCCAAACTTCTTCCATTTAAGAATGATGGAGGCCACTGTGTTCTTGGGGACCTTCAATGCTGCAGAAATGTTTTGGTACCCTTCCCCAGATATGTTCCTCACACAATCCTGTCTCTGAGCTCTATGGACAATTTCTACGACCTCATGGCTTGGTTTTTGCTCTGACATGTACTGTGAACTGTGGGACCTTATATAGAAAGGTGTGTGCCTTTCCAAATCATGTCCAATCAATTGATTTTACCACAGGTGGACACCAATCAAGTTGTAGAAACATCTCAAGTATGATCACTGGAAACAGGATGCACCTGAGCTCAATTTCGAGTCTCATAGCAAAGGGTCTGAATACTTATGTAAATAAGGTGTTTCTGTAGGAAATTTGCAAACATTTCTACAAACCAGTTTTTTATTTGTCATTTTGGGGAATAAAGCTGTAACGTAACAAAATGTGGAAAAATTCAAGGGGTCTGAATACTTTATGAATGCACTGTATGTACACTACCAGTCAAAAGTTTGGACACACCTACTCATTAAAGGGTTTTTCTTTATTTTTTACAATCTTTTGACCGGTAGTGTACATACACACATACATGCCTTCGGAAAGTATTCAGACCCCTTTGACTTATTCCACATTTTGTTACATTACAGCCTTATTCTAAAATGGATGAAATAAAACATTTTCCTAATCAATCTACACACAACACCCCATAATGACTAAGCGAAAATAGGTTTGTAGAAATGTGCAACATTTTCTAAAAACCTGTTTTCGCTTTGTCATTATGGGGTATTGTGTGTAGATTGATGAAGAAAATGTTTATCAATTTTAGAATAAGGCTGTAACGTAACTAAAATGTGGAAAAAGTCCAGGGGTCTGAATACTTTCTGAATGCACTGTATGGAGCGATTGATAGAGCAGCAGAATTACATTTGGGATTGAATTCGGCAAGTACAATTCATACATTATCTGAAAGAAGAAAAAGTAGGTTAATATGTGAAAACTTTCACTTCTTAATTGAAGGTTGCTAGTCCATTTACTGTTGAAGAGGTGAATGCAGAGAAGGTATACTTGTAAGACAACTTACACAGTCAGTTGTTTAATGTTCAGCAGATGCCTTAAGGCTATTGGTGAGGTGAAAGGCCATGTATCGGGTAGTGTCTTGTACACATTCTCTGCATTCACCTCTTCCAGACATGTTCAAACACCTTAAGGCCATTGGTGAGGTAAACATTCATGTATCTGGTAGTTTTTAGTGTCTGGTTATACCTCTGCAACCACCAACCCCTTCCAGTCAAAACCCCAAACAATGACTGAAGGCATGCTAGTATGTATCTGGTAGTTTGTAGTGTCAACACACCTCTTGGCTGGCCAGTGTTTATAGGGGTAACATGCACTCTGGACACCCCATGTTTTGCAGCTTGTGGGAACCATGTTTGTACAGAGCAACTTCCCAGTATGAGTGTTGTGTTCCCATCACTGTCTGTGTAGCAATACTCCAGCATGGCTGCAGCTGCTGATGCACCAAGCTGTGTGTCCCCTGCCTACCTTCGCTTTTCTCTCAGTCCCACACAGCTAGAATCCTTGATAGCCCGGCTGTTTGAAGTCCTCTATTTGCTTTGTACATATGGTGTTCCACATTGTTCTCCTCCGTCACCTCTGGACCAGTAACCAGTTACCTGTATCAGTATCACCCCATGGCACAGATCGTTATCTGACATTAAAATGGCCTGTCTGGCCATCCTTTTTGATGTGTGTTTCGTGGTCTCTGCATTTTTTCACAATCACAGGGAAAGTAGATGTATGTAATTTCTTCCTCTCATTGGTAAAGTAAAACGAGGGCGTGGGGTGAAGGATGGATGTGGCAGTAGAAAATTGGATGCCGTCTTTCATGTCTGGGCACTGTCTCCTTCCCTCGTTCCCTCCTACAGTGTTAAAGAGAGATCAGAGTGACCACCTCTCTCCTTCTCTCTGTGTCAAAGTTATGTCTCATCCCTTAGACTTAGCTCTGTAATAAAGGCCCTCTGTGTCCACCATTACCTAACCGGTTATAAAACAGTTACTTTAAACTCCATTTTAATGTGTCATGTCCTTTGTCTTCATTCTATGTCGTTTCTTAGAAATCCTTTGCCATGCTATAGGAAATGGCTCTTTTATTTTGCTCTGATTTAATGTCTCTTCTGCATCTCTCTCTCTCTCTCACACACACACACACACATACACACACACACAATATCATATTTATAGAGTAGATATAAAAACAATTTTTTATGCATAGATTTGTTCTAGTCTATTGCATTAAATAAACATATATAATGCATCATTATTAAAGGGTTCACTTTTGTCAGATGTTTTCTTGGGGCCCTGAGTGTGTTCCATTGCTATGTGCCTATATTGCATTAGAGACCTGTGCACCAGGCTCAGGGTCAGAGAGACCCTGGGTAAGTCATCATGGGCAGGTTGTGGGTACATTGGGTCACAGTGCCTCTTGTTTCTCTCTGTTTCACCACCCACCAGGGGTTTCTCTGAGAGGCACGCATCCTGCAGAATGGCCCACTTGGAAGTGCACTTCAGTGAGTCAGCCAGGGGGTTGCCTCTGCCCCTCTCCACCTCAGAGGGATTGAAAATAACATACCTAATCTCTTGTAGACTGACGCACGTAACATAGGATGGTATCGTAGCATCTATCAACAGACTGTGGTATGCGATGACTAACGAGTAATTTTGTTTCCGGTGTGCAGATTCTTTCATCATTGATCATTTCGACAAATCACGATTTCTCGTGTGTTCGCATCTTTTGAATTTCGGAAAAAGGAGGAGACATTTGGCCCATGCTTTGGCTGAGAGTTTCTGTTTAGGGGGGTGGAGACATCACTAGTCTCATTAATATATTTTCACATACGTCCCCCCCAAGAACCTAATCGAGCATCTGACGCAATTACGGGAGCTTTTAGTTCTGGGTTTCTGAGATGACTGTTTATTGGGTTCTTAACATGAGTACACAGTTTCCTTGAGCAGGTGCAGGTTGAAATAGTCATAGATACACAATACATGCCTGCACATATACAGGAAAACATGTAAGCACATATGAACACCTGTACACACACACACACACACACACACACACACACACACACACACACACACTATGTATTATGCAGCCATAAACACTGAGGGGACCATCTCTAAATGCTGCAAAGTGAAATTGTTCTTATTGACTGCTTCTATGGTAAATAAATCACACAAAACACAATTGTATTTCACTACAATGTGTTTGCCAAAGCACCTTTGCGGGTTGTAACATGAGTGCCCCCTTGTGGTAGGCCGTGTAAATATAGAAATGTTCTCCGCCTCTATGAGAGGCTTCTTTCAACTGATGCCTTGAATGAAGAGCTATGCACAAATGCATTAATGGGGTGTGCTTGTCAAATAATTGCATTAAAGCTCAAAGGGATAGTCTCCCAAATTACAAAATCACATCTATAAGTAACTTCATTGAGTTACAAAATGAATTTGTATATACTTTAGGATGAATTGGACATGAAGTGCACAAATCTTAATATAGGTACTTTTGACTTGCATTGGATTTGTGCCACAAATGCTAAACAGTTAGCATTTGAAACAGTGGTCAGGAAAACAAAACCAAAGCATAGATTACTGTCATACCTTGTCCATAGACTGCTTACAGGGTAAGGAAACCAATATGTAATTTTGTAATTTGGGTGAACTATCGCTTTAACACATTTAAACGTCTTAGTATTAGCCTAATAGTAATCAACTGAGTGCACAGTTGAATAACACTAGGCTACGTTTTGTTACACTTGAGTGAAATTAGTTTAGTGCAATGTCTGGAATGACAATTACATTTCTAGCTGGCTGAATGTGCATGGACAGTTTTCTTTTTAATTAAACAAGCTATCTGAAACAGTTAAATGGTAAAAGGGCAGATTGTGTAGGCCTACCCTTTCCCTTCTACTCAAACGTGCACTGCGTACCGTGGCGTCGGTAGAAGGGAGGGCTCTGCTTTCTGCTTAAATAGCTGGTGCTCCCCGCAGTTCAGACAGACTCAACAAAGCGCACTGAGAACCATTAAACGATAGCCAACTGTTGAATCCAACTTTGGCTGAATTTACTAAACGAAACTACGAGTGAGCACATATTGGAACCACTCTACGCACTCTTACTTTACACTCATGATCAAGAAAATGTCGCCTTCAGAGAACGACTATGATATACCGGCGAAGAACTGCTGTAGGATGGTGATTTTGGGGTCCACCAAGGTGGGCAAAACAGCCATCGTGTCCCAGTTTCTGAATGGGAGATTCGATGAGCAGTATACGCCGACCATCGAGGACTTTCACAGGAAACTGTACAGCATTAAGGGAGATGCATACCAACTGGACATATTGGATACCTCAGGCAACCACCCGTTCCCTGCCATGAGGAGACTATCCATACTGACAGGTAAATATCTTATTCCATCTCTGGTTATTGCAACTCAAATAGTGTGCATGTTCAATAACGCAATTTGTGCGTCTTTGTAGTCGTTTCTTTTGGTAACCTCAAGAGTGTATGCATTGCGCGCATTTTCCATTGTTGCCACAGGTGCCATTACGCATTGAAATACTGTAGCCTATGTCAATGTGTTTCATAGAAGCTCTGATACTAAATGCCTTGCTCCTCTTGTTTCCATTCAGGTGATGTCTTTATCCTGGTCTTCAGCTTAGACAACAGAGACTCCTTCCAGGAGGTTCAGAGGCTCAAGCGACAGATAATTGAGACCAAGTCTTGCCTAAAAAACAAGACCAAGGAGAACGTTGACGTACCTCTGGTAATCTGCGGCAATAAGGGCGACCGGGAGTTTTACCGGGAGGTGCAGAGTGAAGAGATTGAGCAGTTGGTGGCTGGAGATGAGCAGTGCGCATACTTTGAGATCTCTGCCAAGCGAAACACCAACGTGGACCAAATGTTCCAGACCCTATTCACCATGGCCAAGCTACCCAATGAGATGAGCCCGGACCTCCACCGTAAGGTCTCGGTGCAGTACTGCGACATGCTTCGCAGTAAATCCCTGAAAAATAAGAACAAGAAAGACGATGGAGACGCGTATGGCATCGTGGCACCATTCGCCCGGCGCCCGAGCGTCCACAGTGACTTGATGTACATAAAGGAGAAGGCGATCGGTGGCGGGCAGGGAAAGGATAAAGAGAGATGTACTATCAGCTAAGACTGTGAGATGAATCGTATGGAAGACTTTGTAACCTAAAAGGATATGCTTCATTTGTGATGCACCTGACAGACAGGGCTTGGGCGCGCAAGGCTGCCCATGTCGCTTCGGTTGCTCTTTGTGGGGACACTTGAGAGACAGCGATGCCGAAAACCTATGAGCTCCAGGCGCAATGACACTGTCTAGATTCAGCCACTCCACAAACGTGGAAGCGCATGCTACATGTCCACGAGACATTTAACAACGTTAGCTACTTTGTTCTGTTAGACCAGAGCCTTATGTGATGTGGCTTAAAATCTTGTGAGATTCTTCACAACAAATGTGTAAAATGTGTTTTTGACATCTTTACAGACAGGCGAGAAAACAGACTCCTGGCGTGGAGTACAATGTTAAGAATGTTGTTTACATTTTGTTATACATTTTATAACAGATACTTGAACTTGAATGTTGCAATCTGAACAATTTTATATTGTAAATGTGTATGTAGTATTGTATGTCGACGTCAACTTTTGCAAAGAAAGAAAAAAGAACTGGAAAAAATAAATACGAAAATCTGAATCTTCTGTTTCTGCATGCTTTTCTTCTCAGAAGTGTTGTGAAATGGCCCACTCTCTTCACTCATCACTCCCTGCACCTAGTAGACTTAGATACTGTATCTAGGGAAACTACCTAGGCTAAACATCAAAGCATGAATTAAATAAGCTGCAATGAGCAGTCTAGCATTAAAGACAATTGAGAGCCAAATGGTCACACACCACAGGTTTACCGATTGATAAATAATTTAGCCTACTTGGATCTAAGAACTATAATTAGGGCCATGCACTTTCTCAGCTTTTTCACCTTTTGCACTATTGCTTTTTTATAGACCTAACCCACCCACTGGGCACACACTGGTTGAATCAACGTTGTTTCCACGTCATTTCAATGAAATTACATTAAACCAACATGGAATAAACGTTGAAATGATGTCTGTGCAGGTGGGAAAGTATACTGAACAAAAATATGAATGCAACATGCAACAATTTCAAAGATTTTACTAAGTTACAGTTTACAGTGGGGAAAAAAAGTATTTAGTCAGCCACCAATTGTGCAAGTTCTCCCACTTAAAAAGATGAGAGAGGCCTGTAATTTTCATCATAGGTACACATCAAAGACAAATTGAGAAAAAAAAATCCAGAAAATCACATTGTAGGATTTTTAATGAATTTATTTGCAAAATATGGTGGAAAATAAGTATTTGGTCACCTACAAACAAGCAAGATTTATGTCTCTCACAGACCTGTAACTTCTTCTTTAAGAGGCTCCTCTGTCCTCCACTCGTTACCTGTATTAATGGCACCTGTTTGAACTTGTTATCAGTATAAAAGACACCTGTCCACAACCTCAAACAGTCACACTCCAAACTCCACTATGGCCAAGACCAAAGAGCTGTCAAAGGAAACCAGAAACAAAATTGTAGACCTGCACCAGGCTGGGAAGACTGAATCTGCAATAGGTAAGCAGCTTGGTTTGAAGAAATCAACTGTGGGAGCAATTATTAGGAAATGGAAGACATACAAGACCACTGATAATCTCCCTCGATCTGGGGCTCCACGCAACATCTCACCCCGTGGGGTCAAAATGATCACAAGAACGGTGAGCAAAAATCCCAGAACCACACGGGGAGACCTAGTGAATGACCTGCAGAGAGCTGGGACCAAAGTAACAAAGCCTACCATCAGTAACACACTACGCCGCCAGGGACTCAAATCCTGCAGTGCCAGACGTGTCCCCCTGCTTAAGTCAGTACATGTCCAGGCCCGTCTGAAGTTTGCTAGAGTGCATTTGGATGATCCAGAAGAGGATTGGGAGAATGTCATATGGTCAGATGAAACCAAAATATAACTTTTTGGTAAAAACTCAACTCGTCGTGTTTGGAGGACAAAGAATGCTGATTTGCATCCAAAGAACACCATACCTACTGTGAAGCATGGGGGTGGAAACATTATGCTTTGGGGCTGTTTTTCTGCAAAGGGACCAGGACGACTGATCCGTGTAAAGGAAAGAATGAATGGGGCCATGTATCGTGAGATTTTGAGTGAAAACCTCCTTCCATCAGCAAGGGCATTGAAGATGAAACGTGGCTGGGTCTTTCAGCATGACAATGATCCCAAACACACCGCCCGGGCAACGAAGGAGTGGCTTCGTAAGAAGCATTTCAAGGTCCTGGAGTGGCCTAGCCAGTCTCCAGATCTCAACCTCATAGAAAATCTTTGGAGGGAGTTGAAAGTCCGTGTTTCCCAGCGACAGCCCCAAAACATCACTGCTCTAGAGGAGATCTACATGGAGGAATGGGCCAAAATACCAGCAACAGTGTGTGAAAACCTTGTGAAGACTTACAGAAAACGTTTGACCTGTGTCATTGCCAACAAAGGGTATATAACAAAGTATTGAGAAACTTTTGTTATTGACCAAATACTTATTTTCCACCATATTTTGCAAATAAATTCATAAAAAATTCATAATTTTTTTTTTCTCATTTTGTCTGTCATAGTTTACGTGTACCTATGATGAAAATTACAGGCCTCTCTCATCTTTTTAAGTGGGAGAACTTGCACAATTGGTGGCTGACTAAATACTTTTTTCCCCCACTGTATATAAGGAAATCAGTCAATTAATTAGGCTGTTCTGAGGGCAAAGGGGGGTGCAACTCAATATTAGGAAGGTGTTCCTAATGTTTTGTACACAGTGTATATTTCTTTATAGAATTCTGAGTTCAAAGATTACCTTTGCAGTCTTCAGGCAGCACTCCTTGGGGCCAAACACAAATATGTGAAATGCCATACAATAAAGCATGATAAGAACGTATATCCTAGGCCTACATGCCTCTGCCCACACAATGGCACAGACAACATAACAGTTGGTACATGTAATGTCCTACAGAGCATCAACAGAAACAACAAGGCTTTCCTACCAGACTAAAGCACATACTGTAGTCCTGTTCTAAACCGTCATCCAACCAGAAAAATCTCAACACATCAAATTCAGCCTAGTCCTGTGTAGGGGAGAGTGGGGTACGTTGAAATATAGTATTCTTTCCAACAAAGAGCATTACTCCTGGGAAGAAAGCACTTCAATTTGCTCAACTTGCCATTTTTTTTATTTATTTTTTATTTCACCTTTATTTAACCAGGTAAGCCAGTTGAGAACAGGTTCTCATTTACAACTGCGACCTGGCCAAGATAAAGCAAAGTAGTGCAATAAAAACAACACAGAGTTACATATGGGGTAAAAAACATAAAGTCAGAAATACAACAAAAAATATATATACAGTGTGTGCAAATGTAGCAAGTTATGGAGGTAAGGCAATAAATAGGCTATAGTGCAGAATAATTACAATAGTATTAACACTGGAATGCTAGATGTGCAAGAGATTATGTGCAAATAGAGATACTAGGGTGCAAAAGAGCAAAATAAATAACAATATAGGGATGAGGTAGTTGGGTGGGCTAATTTCAGATGGGCTGTGTACAGGTGCAGTGATCGGTAAGGTGCTCTGACAACTGATGCTTAAAGTTATTGAGGGAGATAAGAGTCTCCAGCTTCAGAGATTTTTGCAATTCGTTCCAGTCATTGGCAGCAGAGAACTGGAAGGAATGGCGGCCAAAGGAGGTGTTGGCTTTGGGAATGACCAGTGAGATATACCTGCTGGAGCGCAGACTACGGGTGGGTGCTGCTATGGTGACCAATGAGCTAAGATAAGGCGGGGATTTGCCTAGCAGTGATTTATAGATGGCCTGGAGCCAGTGGGTTTGACGACGAACATGTAGTGAGGACCAGCCAACAAGAGCGTACAGGTCACAGTGGTGGGTAGTGTATGGGGCTTTGGAGCCAAAACGGATGGCACTGTGATAGACTACATCCAATTTGCTGAGTAGAGTGTTGGAGGCTATTTTGTAAATGACATCGCCGAAGTCAAGGATCGGTAGGATAGTCAGTTTTTACGAGGGCATGTTTGGCAGCATGAGTGAAGGAGGCTTTGTTGCGAAATAGGAAGCCGATTCTAGATTTAACTTTGGATTGGAGATTCTTTATGTGAGTCTGGAAGTTGAGTTTACAGTCTAACCAGACACCTAGGTATTTGTAGTTGTCCACATACTCTAGGTCAGACCCGTCGAGAGTGGTGATTCTAGTCGGGTGGGCGGGTGCCAGCAGCGTTCGATTGAAAAGCATGCATTTAGTTTTACTAGTGTTTATGAGCAGTTGGAGGCTACTGAAGGATTGTTGTATGGCATTGAAGCTCGTTTGGAGGTTTGTTAACACAGTGTCCAATGAAGGGCCAGATGTATACAAAATGGTGTCGTCTGCGTAGAGGTGGATCTGAGAGTCACCAGCAGCAAGAGCGACATCATTGATATACACAGAGAAAAGTGTCGGCCCAAGAATTGAACCCTGTGGCACCCCCATAGAGACTGCCATAGGTCCAGACAACAGGCCCTCCGATTTGACACACTGAACTCTATCTGAGAAGTAGTTGGTGAACCAGGCGAGGCAGTCATTTGAGAAACCAAGGCTATTTAGTCTGCCAATAAGAAGACTCTGTAGCTCAACTGGTAGAGCACGGCGCTTGAAACGCCAAGGTAGTGGGTTCGAGCCCCGGGACCACCCATACACAAAAAAATAATGTATGCATGCATGACTGTAAGTCGCTTTGGATAAAAGCGTCTGCTAAATGGCATATTATTATATTATTAACAATGGTCTGTATGTGTATGCTATTAAGCTATTAGTCTGAAAGATAGGGCCATATCCAACAATGTTTCCCTTTCTTTAATTGCAACATCAGTATGGGTAATCCACAGGGGTCCCTGTTGGACTAGATAGATTATGGAAACCAAAGAAAGCTTTACAGTTTACTCTGTAGCAGGGATCTGGTTCATTTCAGTTTCAAGTGATTATGATGACCACGCCTCTCACTACATGATGTGTGGGGGCTGTGGTGAGACTGGGAACAAGACCATGGGAAGAACTAGTAGGAAAACGTTGAGACACATCAACTACAGTGCCATGCAGTACATCGGTCAAGAGTGGTGCCTTTAAAAAAAGAACTGATGGAAGATACTGTACTGTATTTAGACTCCAGTCTGATTCCCACACCTTTCAACAGCACAACACCCCCGAGACCCGTGCAGGCGCAGATCTACAGCTCCCGCCAATGCCCTCGGTCCAGGTCCCCCCCCCCCCCCCTTACCCCCACCCGGCCCGTCCCA